TACAAAGTCCCAGAATGTGTGGATTCTCTTATATAACCATTATTGTCCTTAGAGACTAAGACTTCATTTAGCCTTGGAAAATTTTTCCTAAGCAAATCAGGGTTTTTATCTTCTTCTTTTTCTTTTTTTTAGAAACAGAGTCTCACTTTATCACCCTCGGTAGTGTGCTACAATGTCACAGCTCACAGCTACCTCCAACTCCTGGGCTTAAGTGATTCTCTTGCCTCAGCCTCCCAAGTAGCTGGGACTACAGGTGCCCACCACAACGCCCGGCTATTTTTTTGTTGCAGTTCAGCCGGGGCCGGGTTTGAACCTACCACCCTCGGTATATGGGGCCGGTGCCCTACCCCTGGGCCACAGGTGCTACCCTTTCTTCTTCTTTTTGATAAAAAGTCAAACACAGTTGATCTTGATTCCTAGCCCAGACTTTTACTTTTCAAAGTTACTTTCTTTTTTAGACAGAGTCTTACTCTATTGCCCTTGGTAGAGGGCCACGGCATCAGCCTACCTCACAGCAACCTGAAACTCCTGGGCTTGAGCAATCCTCTTCCCTCAGCCTCGGGAGTAGCTGGGACTATAGGCACCCACCACAATGCCTGGCTAGTTTTTCTATTTTTAGTAGAGATGGTTGCTTGCTCTTATGCTTGCTCAGGCTGGTCTCAAACTCTTGAGCACAAGAAATCCACCTGCTTCAGCCTCCCAGAGTGCAAGGATAACAGGTGTGAGCTACCACACCCAGCTGTTAATCAGGTTTTAAGGAAAAAAACAGACAACTTTATAATCACATGACAAAGATGCTGGTTTGGGAAAATAAGTACACAGCATAGAGCACTAAGAATGTGATTGTAAAGAAGGGTGTTCCCTTTACAAAGAAAAACAGGGCAACTATAAAAACTAGAGGAAACTACAGTGACGTCAGAGGGTGAAACCAAAGGAAGACAGCAGGTGCTTAGAGAAGCATGCCAAAGTATTGGCCCATTATTTTGCTGAGGGAGTAGTAAGCTGAATGACCACCCCCACACTGAAGGAGGAGAGAAGATGCTACTTATCTTCCTGCAGGGCTCAATCAGGTGTTTTCCTTCCAGGAAGCCTCCCTGACATCTTCTCCATTTGCACTAAGGCAAGGTCATATCTGCTATACACATTATCCAATGACACTGGTCTCAGGAGGCAGGATTTGAGGGGAGGGACTGCCATCTCTACATCATGAGTCTGGCACAATGCTTCACACAGAAGGTGGCTATAAAACCCACCTTCATGTTCTTGCCTCAATTTCTGCTGAGTAGGGCCACCTCAAAAAGGCCCTTTGGCTTGGCACCTATAGCATAGTGGTTACAGCGCCAGCCACATATACCAAGGTTAAACAACAATGGCAACTGCAACCAAAAAATAGCCGGGCATTGTGGCAGAGACCTGTACTCCCAGCTACTTGGAAGGCTGAGGCAAAAGAACTGCTTAAGCCCAGGAGTTTGAGGTTGCTGCGAGCTGTGACTCCATGGTACTCTACCAAGGGCAACATAGTGAAACTGTCTCTAGAGGGGGAAAAAAAGCCCTTTGTTCTTTGTCTAGGCAGATCCTATATAGCCCTATTTCTGGCCTACCACACACAGGTGGGACCCTCTTAGGTCTCTTGTTCAAGGAGTAAACTCCTTGCAATAAAAGGTATCAGCACCAGTGGTCTCCAAAGTATAGCTTCTTTTTGTTTGTTTGAGACAGAGTCTTACCATGTGACCCTTGGTAAAGTGCTATGGCATCACAGCTCATAGCAACCTCAAACTCTTGGGCCCAAGCGATTCTCCTGCCTCAGCCTCCGGAGTAGCTGGGACCATAGGCACCTGCCACAACGCCTGGTCACTTTTTGTTGCAGTTATCATCATTGTTTAGCAGGCCCGGGCCAGGTTCGAACCTGCCACCCTCGGTATATGTGGCTGGCGCCGTAACTACTGTGCTATGGGCACCAAGCCCAAAGTATAGCTTCTGGGGCACATGGACCTGCTTGCTGTAGTACCCACTACTTACTACCCCTACATGCAAGTCTCATCATCTTGGAATTAACTAAGAAATAATCATTTCCAATGATGTTAGGTCACCAAACAAAATGCCACATGTAAAATAGCCTCTGAGGACCTACACAGCTAATGATTAAGATTAATCTTCATTCCTTCACTATGACCCAAATCTACCCTTAGGCTCACCCACCCTTCCTCAAAAGTGAGGTTCAGCCAAGCATATTTGGTGCACATAAGGAAGGTATCTTCTCAGCTCAGCTGCACCTGGGCTGTACTCACAGTTAATTATTATCATTATCACATCTACCTATTCCCTAACCCTCCATCTCATTCTAATTTTCCCCAAGTTTCCATATTTGAAAACTTAGCCATTTCATAAAGTTTTCATACCAGAGGCTCTCTTGTCAGATATCCAAGGACAGTATTTTCAAACACATTTATGACATCAAATCATTCATTCAAAGAAAAGATCCAACTGCATGCAAGCAGCTGCTACATACTCCATGTACCCTGCCCAAGAAGCTGCCTGTTTCCAGCCCACTACACTCAATCCCCAGAAGATGAATGGCAAAGAAGAAACATCCTTTCCTCTCCCTGTAGCTACAGCTGTCTTTGTGATCAACTTAAATAACTTCCTTCAACAGCTGTGATAATGACCATGCGTGCTAACATAACTGTGCCTATAGAAATCAGAATAGCCAGGTGAGGTACCTCATGCCTATAATCCTAACACTTTGGAACGGCAAGGCAGGAGGATCATTTGTGGCCAGGAGTTTGAGACCAGCATGGGCAACACAGTGAGATCCTCTCTCTAAAAAAAAAAATTAGCTGAGTACACCTGCAGTCCTAACTTCCCAGAAAGTAAGGCAGGAGAACCACCTGAACCAGGAGTTTGAGGTTATAGTAAGCTATGATGCCACTGCACACCAGCCTGGAATAGAGCAAGACACTGTCCTCTTTTAAAAAAAAAAAA